AGAGATGACCTATAGGTCTGCCAGATTTATACTTTTTGCCACCTGAGTGGTTTTTTCTGAAGTGCCAACATTTATCCCCAAATCAGCCTTTGTCAGACTTACTTATTTTAGATGTAGATTTTTAAATTTCTTTTATCCCATTTTTATTTATTTTTTTTATAAATAACTCAAGGTGGCAAACATACCTAATACTCCTTCCTCATCCTGTTTTCCCCACAATGACGACCCTGTGAGGTGAGTTGGGCGGAGAGAGAGTAACTGGTCCAAAGTCACCCAGCCAGCTTTCATGCCTAAGGTGGGACTAGAACTCTCAGTCTCCTGGTTTCTAGCCTTTCTAACCACTAGATCAAACTGGCTCTCTATTTATTTATATCTATTTATTCATAAGACTTGTATGGCTACCCATCTTGTAGAACACAATTCTGGGTGGCTGACAACAATAATAAAACCAGAAACAAGAAAAACAAGAAAACCCACGATCACCAATCCATGGAATTATTTAATCCTTGAGCTCCCACCTCACTCTATCCCAGTGCCTGGAGGAAAAGCAACTCTTTATAGCTTCCTGGAAAGCTAAAAATTTGGGGGGGCCTGCTGGATCCCAGGGGGAAAGATGTTCCAGAGCAGGGGCTGCTACAAAAAAGGCACGCTAGCTAGGTCTCATTGGATGGCAACACTTAAAGGATAGGACCTGTAACTTGCCCATCCTGTCTAGCTAGTCGAGCAAGCAGATATCCTCAGGCAGAGATGGTCCTGCAAATAACCTGGCCCCATACCATGTAGGGTTTTAAAAGTAATAACCAGCACTTTGAATTGCACCTGGAAGAAAACTGGAAGCTAGCACAGCTCATGCTGCCCTGATATATCATGAACAAATCAAGGGGTATCCAGCACGGCACAAGCTGCTGTGTTCTGGACTAGTTGTAACTCCCAGGTGGTCTTCAAGAGCAGCCCCATGTACAGCACACTGTGATAACCCAGCTGGGAAGTGACCAAGGCATGAGTGACTGTGAGCAAGGCCTTTCATGAGAACACTGGCATTTGGGCTCAAACCACAAATACACCTTACTTTCTTTTTGCAACACAGAGATGGTAGCCATATCCAGGTAGAAAAATGTGGCCAGTTTTATTTTAATTAATGCGAGATTTGTCTTATGTATGAATGGCCACATTTCCAACTTATTTGAATGGAGAAAATTAAGATGTAAAAAAGGAGTCTAAGTTCATCTTTAAGCATCAGAGTTTCCTTTCTGTTAACTTTAATTTAATTGCATAAAGCTTATAAATAAAAATGCCACCAGGGGGCACATGAAGAACTCGCATAAGACATTTAAGATTTAACGTCTCTCTAGAAAAATCTGAACTGTTTCTGTTCAGCAAGAGTTTTAGGGATACATTTAATGAGAACTTTTTAATGTCTTCAAAATTATATCTGATTGTAATATTTACTATTGATTTACCAGATTATAATTTGCAATGATATAAATATTATCCCTGCAAAATCATGCTTATTCAGTAGCTTGAAGGGATTCACAAACATCTAATTGCTCACAGCTAATTGCAAGCAACATGAGCTCTTACGAATGAAGGCTGATTACATGTCACCTTTCTCATAATCTCCCTAGTAGTTTCATAGGTGACAATAATAGTCATAATTAACATACTGAATCAGAAAAGAAGAACCACTAAGTAGATTCAACACTTTAAAGGATGTAACTTATAAGTACATTGCACTAATAGCAAGGAAGAGTAGATTAGTCTGATTCAAGTCCATGTCAGGATTATATTCATTCATTTATTATTTAAATTGACAAATGTATGCATTATTACTGGTTATGCCACTATGAGGTTCATGTTGATGGATCTCATCATTTCTTGGTAGATTTCTTTTACATTCTTTGGCCACAGGGGTGGAAGGGGGTGGCAAGGACTGGTGTTCCCTCTTGATAAAGGTCCTACTAAGTGTATTATCATATGGCAGAGGTATACAAGCTGATGCCATAGGGCTGCAAGTAGCCTCTAAAAGCCCTCAGCACTGTGGAGGTCTTCAAAAGTTGCTTCATAATTGTTAGGTCTAATGGGACAGAAAGGGAAATAATTAAAACACATTATTAGAGCACAATCACATTAACTATTTTTAATTTTAATGAATATGGAATGTAAACCAGTTGAAATCTGATCTAGTTTTTGATATGGCCTCGCCCGCTGTTTCTTGGACTATACCCCATCCCCCAGCATGACATTTAAATGACAAGTGTAGCCCCCTCACCCCAGAAAGTTCCACATACTTTTGAGCTTATTACCTGAATTAAGCCAGCTCATAAAGCTTCTCAATTCCATCAAACACATAGTTAAACAATTAAATTCACTATTACAAGATGTGACAGTAACGTCAGTGACCTAGATGGTTTTAAATGGGGAATAAGATCCGTGTGGCTCCCACTGTGCTGGCATTTGGGAAGGCCTTGAAAATCTACTATTTTCTCAGGCCTGGGGTAGGGTGGATCAGATCTGGGTGTTGTCTAGATTGCCATTCTGTAACCATCTTGCATAATTTTTTAAGTTAATCTTTATTATGTTATTATTTACTTGTTGCTTTTGCATTGTTTTTTACTTAGTGGGGCACCCAGAGTCAGTTGGACTTAAATGACATCAACAATAGCGTAGTGTAGTATAGAGTAGAGTAGAGTAGTATTCAGAATCAGGGAGACAAAGCCTTGCAGAGGAAGAATAATGGGCGAAGACTATCTGTCACCATGTCTTACTTGGGAGCTTTCCATAGGTATCTCACTGAACATTGTAGGAAAAAATAGGCTTTTAGTTTGTCCCCCCCCCCCCAAGGGCTCATGTATTGATATTATACAATGAAAAAAGTGATGGGTAAAGATTAAAGAAAAGACTACCACATATAGCAGGGATGGCCACTACAGGCTACAAGCTCCACCTGACTTTATCTTTAAGGGTCCCCCTCCCAAAACAAAAGGGAAAACTGGCATGCCACACAAAGTACAAATCTCCACCATCTTTATTTTCAAGATAAACCTCTGGGCCCACATAGGTTCCAAATGCATTCTTAGACAATTGCAATGACAAGTGGCTGCAGCTTAATCTTGTTAGGTAGTCTGGTCACCAGTCTAGGGGGAAAAAAGCTACTAGTAAGTTAAGACCGGTAGAGCACACTGCAGGGGTCCAGAAGGGATGGCAGGAATCACCTTCACCATTTTGTCTTCTGCTAAATGGTCATCTGTGACTGGCCACGTCCCTCATGGTCTTCTGTGTAAGAGTCGTAAAATTCCACAGAAGGCTGCCTATTTCAGTTACTGGTGCATGCCTTAAAGCAGTGTTGTCCAAACTTGGCCACTTTAAGATGAGTGGACTTCAACTCC